CAACTTTGCAGAACTGAAATGTATGTCTCTAGCTTGAAGAAAATGTCAGGAGAAGGAGAAGGAGGTCCTTTGCGACTGAGGGATCTAACTTGTAATCAACGGGAATGATCTTATTAGAAAAGCAGCTCCATTTAGTTCTTCCCACCCCAAAATCAGCTTCAAAAGCCCTTGGAAATTTTGGTTTGAAATTTGACAGGTTTCTTAGATGTAGGGGTGCCTCCCCCATGCCTGCAATTTTCAGGCCAGCTGCTCACAAAATGCTAAAACTGTTGACCCCTTGAAGAGAAACCTTTGCAGCTTTGCTTCTGAAATTTGGCAGGATTCATGACCTCAGAATTGGCAAGATTGCCTGATATATATTCTACCCCAGAATTTAAAAGTTAAGGCATTTCCTTTTTTAAAAAACCAAACAAAAACCAAACTTTAAAACTGTCCAGTAGAAAAGCCCCTAGATCTAACTGCATGTAAATTGGCAGGCTTCCTCCACTCCATAAATTATAGCTGATACTGTTTTGAAGGTGGGAGAAACAAAATGGACCCTCTAGATGAATCAGAAAATCTAAAAAGTGCCTTGAATGAAGGTAGGCAGTTTCCTGAAACCTTCAATTCGGGTCCAAAATAAATATTGTGGTCAGTGCACACTCCTAGTTCCAATGGGACAGCTCAGTGATAGGATACATGCATGAAAGTTACATTTGCGGCATGAAAATGTGGAGAGCCACTGCCAGTCAGAATATGCATTTATTCATATAGAAATTTCTGCTTCAGGCTTCTAATGCCTGTGTGTACTTAAGGGTGGCTTAGCAACAATTTAAAGTTGCAGTGTCATAAAACACTACACAAAATACAGAGTAGATAATACTGATGCATCGTGGTCTGACTTGCACCAGTGGTATAAGGCAATTTCCTGTGTCCTCTTGTGTGAGTCAGATATATATTTTTGTATTCATTTACTTATTTCAAAAGAAAGGGCAATTGCATGCTACTGAAAGGTTTCCCGTGCCCTGTGCTAACGAAGGGTTATTTCAGTCTTAAGTGGTTAATGATCAGGAAGGAGAGAATTTCTGCTTGACCTCTTCCAGGAACTTGGCAGCTTCCCTGATAGCAGTTCGGGTCAGTTGCTTAGGGATTTGGCAGTGAAGTGGGAAAGAAAGTTTATGCAGTCTGATCCGCAGATAACCGAGATCCAGAGGATACTGGGAACCAATTTTTCTGGCCCTACAATATTTAAAAAACTTATGTAAATATCCAAAGCCAAGAGATGGTAACATTGGAGTCTTACAGAACTGCCTGGGGAGGTTGCTCTAAAGATATGGTGCCACCACTGATAAGGCCCTGTTTCGTGAACATCTGTCTATCCTCTGATGATACTGAACACAGGAAGGGAAGGGCATCAGGAGGAAAGTTTCCAAAGGATCAGGTAGGTTTATGTGGGAGAAGGAGGTTCTTCAGATACTTTGGTCCCAAACCTTAAATGCTGGTATAGAAATATTAGTAATAAATATATATGATCGAAACCAATATGTGAATTGTGTGTGGAAGCCAGTGAAAGCACTTTAAAACAGGTAGAAGATCTTCAGGCTGGTGTGTTCCACATAAAAATTTAGCTGCTGTGTTCCAAACAGTCTCCAGTGATAGTCCCACGCACAATGCATTTTTAAAGTCTAACCTGGATAGTACCACAACCTGCCTTTCATTTTCTAAGAGAGCCCAGAGGCAGCAGAAGTTGATGAAAAGCAACACGCAGAACACTCATTGAAAGGCTGGGATCTAACAGTTCCCCAAGCTGTAAACTTCTTCAAGGGGAAGTACAAATTCACATCAATAGTGAGCAGGATACTACTTCCCATACACATTGAGCCGCCTTGTCATTTTTGAGATGACAAAAATGAACCCACCTGTTTCTTACTCGTGGCATGTTTTTTTAATCTGAATGAAAGTTGAATGGGCCCCAGCTGGAACTCTGTAGGACACCATAGCACACGGTTGTCAAGCTATAGTGCCAGCACCACGTTCAGGCATTTGTGCATCAGGAAGGAATAGGATGCCTAACATAACTGTAGTGCCTTGCAGGCAAGTGAACTGAAGGTAACAAAGTATCAAAGACCACAGAGACTCGGTAGAACTATAGAGGTTGAACTTCATCTGTCTCTCTGTCCTTATAGCTCCTCTGGGAGGGTGACCAAGGAAATTCCAGTGCCATATCTAGGTCAGAAACCACACAGAAATGTATTTAAGATATCAAGCAGTATCATCCCAAAGTTTCTGAATCTGAGCCGCTACCGCCACAAGTGGAGTACCTTCCCCCAAAAGATTCTGTGAAGGAAAGATGACTATTCTCGGCTAACTGTGTTTAAACTGGTGAATTAAATTGATTGTCATGCACCGCTGAAACTCCCTATCTCCCTTTTCCCCTCTAACATTGGTGTATTCTCTCTTCCTTTCTTGCTGAATTGTACCTTTGTGGACATTTATTTCTGTATTTTATAACTGCATTTTGAGAAATTATTTTTTTAAAGCAACACTTCCTCCTTCCTTTTTAAGTTGGTACTTGCAAATATACTGGTGGGGTGGCTAGTGAGTGGTAGGGCAGCACACATACACACACCAAATCTTTCAGTATGTATTTATGGGAACATTCACACAATTCTGTAAATGCAATTTAGAGGCATTAGTATTTATCACAAATTTCCACGAATTTCATCTTTTACAAGGTGTCCCTACATCACCCCCATCCCCACTCCAAATTTCTTTAAATTCTCAATATTAACATGCAGATTTGGGGAATTGATGCAAGAACTTTTAAAGCAAATGGGTGCTGTGTACTTTCTGGGAGCATTGGCCTATTCTATATAACTGTAAGCGAAACTTACTTTTTTATTATTATTAAAGATTTTCTTCATTTACAAAAGTGTGTGCAATGTCTCTCATGGAAGTGAAACTTACTTGTGCTACAACCATTCTTTTTTAATTGCCCATAAGAGTTTCTCCCATCCCCACTAAACCAAATGTTAATATATAAGCAATACACAGTCTTATTTGAGTGTTCCTGAAAAGTACCCAAGCATGCCACTCTTAAGCTGTTTATTGTGACAAGAGCCTCTGTGAGCATCAGCTTACTTCATCATGCAAGATGGCAGATGGTATAGCGAAGGGTAAGCGAAGCTAAAAAGGACAAGATTATTGGATACACTAAATTTACTTTGCTGGAGTATCAAAGCATAAGTATGACTATTGCAATTGGAAAGACAACTACGTTGTTGTGCTGGAGGTATTTTTCAATAGTTTATAAATAGGTTTTTCTTTTGGAAGTGTGAACAGATGTGCATGTAACATCTCATCCATATATTTTTTATATCCAAGTATACTTTGATTTCACATACCCTTTTTCATAAGGTAGGCAAAACAAGACAGTTGGGGGGGAAAGTGTACATTTGAGATGGACCGATCACAATAAAGACCAGTTTAAGAAGTTTACTTAAGTTGCCACTTTGGGAGACATCACCCTCACGAAAAATATGGGCCAGAGCATTAGAAGTAACTTGATCAGATTAGAAGGAGGCTGGAGGTTAACCCCTCTGCCTCGGCAAAGAGCTTTGTTGCCTTCAACTTGAAACTTGCTAGCTGAGAAAAAGCAAATGCTACGTTCCAGAGACCAAAACGAAAAGTTACCGACACAGTTCAACAGCTAATTAAGCATTTTATATGCAGCATATGTTCTGTGTAAAGCCAAAGCCCAGCAAGCCAATAGCAGAGTCTCTTACACATTACAGGTGCTTTGTTATGGAGCTTGACTGTAACCTGAGTCGGTTTTATTTGTCTGACGTGGCTAAAGTATATAATGCATCTTTGGGCAAGGTTTGTGGAGAATTTGTTTGTGTACAAAAACAAACAGGCCATTACATACAGTTGAGAGAGGTGGGGGTTTTTTAAGTCAGTTGAATGGGGGGGGTGGGCTAGCTTATTCCAGTTGTGCATTCTCTGCAAATATTGTAGACTGTACAGTAAATCTTTTATGTGTCAGGACATAATAAAAGTTTTCCCTTTTAGCAGGGACAGTCTTGAAAGCCTTTTCTTTCAATTCTCTGTAAATCATTCACGTCTCTTGTGGATTGTTTTTTTAAAAAAATAAATAAAAAATAAGTAGCCTACCTTTCCTCTGGAGCCTACAGACCTTCGATCTATTTAGGTTTTGGCACAGAGCCACAAGTGAATCATGAGCTATAGTAGTCGATGTTGTGAGTGCCTCCTATTTTTGTTAATAGAAAACACCCTGTTCAGTTGTAATGCCAAAGAAAACCCCATTCAGAAAAGTCTTTCTTACAGACAAGTGTGCAGACATGGGAGAGATTATACAGTGTGACTGAAGGATAGGGGGGAAAGTGTGGTTTGTTGCATTAGGAGTCCCTCTAAAATATGGAAATGAACATTTACCACAGACCTTTAATGTTAGATAAGCGCATATTTAATTTTGTGCACTTCTAAAAACTTACATCATGCTGACCACTTTTGTATTCTGTTCTTTCCTTTTGTGCTCTTCTGTGTTCACTTTTTTAGATTTAGTACCCAAATTGCTGCTTCCTAGCAATCTTGTGTGTCTTGCTCTTTGTCCTCTATAGCTCATGGTCTGGCCAACATGCCGCCCTCCAGATATTGTTCATAGAATCATAGAGCTGGAAGGGACAACGAGGATCATCTAGTCCAACACCCTGCAGTGAAGGAATCTTGAATCTCGAATCCACACCCCTGGGATTAAGAGTCTCATGCTCTACCAGCTGAGCCAACTTCCATCAGCTCCAGCCAATGGGCCAAGATGATGGGAGTTGTACTCTTAACACATCTGGAAGGTACCACATTAGCTAGCCCTGCTTCAGTAAATAGCTTTAACTGATCCTGGTGCTTGGTAGCTGCTCTTTCCTTCCTCCTTAGCACTATCAAAGTGTTTGTATCCATTCAATTCAAGCAACATAAGCAAGCAAGCACAGGCTTCTGCCCTTGGGAACTTGCAGCCTGAAGTGAAGGCCTTTGGTCCTTGCTTCCCCAGCTTCATGTGAAGATCCTCGTATTCCCATGGCTTAGTATATGGTGTAATTTCATCCATCTTACCTAAAGATGAACCAGAGTCAAATGAGCGACAGCACTCAAATTCTGGCTCACCTCTCCACACTTAATAAGGGATATTATATAAGAAGGGAAAATCCAGCCACTTTATAAGAAGACAGGAGAACAGTGGGATTCTTCAGCAGTGAGCAAGACGGAGAGATTGCTGTGAGTTAACTCTAAGATGCCATAGGAATAGAGAAAATATTCTGGATCCAGGCCATTTGTTGGCAAGCAGACACCCGAGAATCTCATCAGATGGGACTTCACTTTGGCAGCTACTATTAAAAGACCATTGTGAATGAGTCACCAAATGTTGAAAGTGTCAAGTGACCAGTCAGGATATTGGGCGATGGCTGAAAGTGTCTATGAATAACCTGGTTGTTTGAATTCACCCACTGATTCTGTCTTAAGGATGAACTCTACTGCTTGCATTTTTCTCCACAGCCTTTTGAAACCACCCTTCACCCAGTTTTCAAGCTGACCAACCCTAGCAGTTCAGCGTTGTGCTAGAATTATAACACAGACTGCAGTCGCATGAATTCTGTTCTACTGTGCTTTGTACAGAATTGGTGAGCTACTTTGGAGACAATGCAAGCTTGAGAAATAGAACAACAAACTTTGGAAAGATTTATTGTTCTCCACTTGCTCAGTCCCCTCCCCCCCATCTAATTTGCCCCCAAAGCAATATATGGAGCATAATTGCATGGCATGTTGTTCCAGGATGTTAGATATCTGACTTCTCAAGTATCCAGTGTTATATTTAGACTATCCTGAAGCTGAAACCCAGCTGCAGGCTCCTTTTTTGAACCTTGTTGCATATGTCTGTTTAGTGCTCCTCTGCTTTATGAATTAGTCCAGTATACGGAATGCCAGCTGGTCCTGCAGTATAACAGAATAACTGCAAGTGATAATCAGCTAGCTGCTGTGCCGTATCATTTGACCTGGGCAGGAGGGATACTCATGCCTGCAGTGCATTTTCATCATTTGATGTGTGAATGTGCCATCAGTTAGCATACAATGTCATTTTGAGTCTTAGTAACTGGTAATTGGGCAGAGAGGGAGGTCTGAATGGGAGGGGCACCCAGATCTCCCATTCACCCTAATGTCCTACTACACTGCCTGTGCAAATATCCATGCCTGCACATAAGCAAGAAGGGAGCAAACATTTAGTAAGCCCTGTTGGGACCCTCCATGTATGGGTGTAACTTGCTCAGTGTTTTTCAGTTGGGTCTGTTTGCACACACGGTAGTCAATATTATCAGGCGTTGACTCAGCTGCCCTCTCAGTATACTTGCGCAACCTAATCCTATAATATTTAATGCTTGAAGGTTGACAAAATAAAGTTCAGGTGCTCAGTCTTTTGGGGTGGGGTCAGGGGGCACATTTTGAAAGCTAAGGAATTCTGTGGACCACCAAAAAATACCAGTTTCACAGAAGAAACACCGGCCCCCACCTGTGCAACATTGGGCAGCCCATATGTCCCTCCATCTTTCTTTAGACTGAGATCTGTTTTACAACAAGGACATCTATGGAACCACAGAGCTGGAAGGCCTTCCCTGTGATAGGGCCCACTATTTGGAATGGATTCCCATAGGAACCCCTCCTCCCATACTGTGGGCACAGGACAAAACCTGCCTGATTTACTATTGATTGAAGATTATTGTTTATGCTGACATTGCTTAAGAATTTAACATCATTTTTAAAATCTTATTGATTTTTGTTGTTGTTAATGTGTTAAAATAATGTTGATAAATAGATAAACATGTTGGTACATTTTAATCCATTTTCCCATTTTATTTTAATGGTTTTAAACTATTTTTTGTTGATAATTTTCATATTTATGGTGAACTGCTTGGAGGTTTTACTGGAATCAAGTGATACGCACATTTGTTTAAATAAATATTTTTTCTATAATAGTATTGTGATTATCGTATGCCTCCTTCTGGCAACTCCTGCAGCCAAGCTGGTGCCAAACGTGTTGCTCTCCTTTCCTTCGGTCCACGTAATTGAGGCCAAGAGGGGGACTTGTTGTCCGGGCAGCCCAGGACCGCCCTACACACTGCCCAGGCTTGCACACTTCAGTGCTGCTGGTGCAGCGCTTTGACTTCACCCCTCCTCCCGGAGGCACACTCCATTGTCTCTTGAGACAGACAATGCCAACATTTTCCCCCTCTGAACTGCTTTGGTGGTAGAACAGCTGTACAGAAAACAACCTACAGTTTAAAGTACAAGTTAAATGCTAGGATATCATGTTTATGTTGTACAGGGATGAAGTATTTTTGTTTCTTAATTTTTAATGCACGGTCACTTTTAATGTGCTGTTCTTGATTTTAAAACTTAGCAACAAAATCTATACAGATATTAACTGCTTTGTTCTGTGGAAAGTGACCAATAAACAGCCCCAGGGAGAGTAGACTGGCCTTGACCAGAGCCAGGGTCTTTTTGGCTGTGGCCCTGGCTTGGTGGAATGCTCTCTCACAAGAGACCTGCAAGATTTGGCATCCTTCCTCAGGGCCTGCAAGACGGAGCAGTTCCGCCAGGCCTTTGGTCAGGGTTCAGTATGACTCATTTTCTCTTTGTATAAGAACAAGCACGAAGGAGGTTTCCCAGCCCGCTCACAGGTCATTATAATATCAGTGGAAATAGTTGGTCCTGGCGAGTATTAACCACTTTCGATTTTAACCTAAGGATTGTAATTTGTCCAGTTTTAATTTTAATTTATTTGAATTAATTTTGGGATGCATTTTAATCGATCGATTGCTTGCTTTTATGCATATTGTATTATTTATATGATGTTAGCCTCTCTGAGCCCAGCTCTGGCCAGGGAGGGCAGGGTACAAATAAAAATTATTATTACTATTATTATTATTATTATTATTATTATCATCTTTTAGGAAAGGGATAAAACTAAAACAGCAATTATGAATGGCCCATTTAGGCCACATTCCAAAACAGACTCAAACATACTTCATTCTGTGTTGGATTCTGGCCAAATAGTGTTACATACAATTCTGATTCTGTGTGGGTGGTGGTGGTGGTGGGGAAATGAACGTTTATCAAGTTAAAGCTATAAAGAGAGTGGATGGAATTTTCTCAAAACCATGTCTGATCATTTAGTGAAATTCCTTGGCAGACAAATGGAATTACATCTGCACACAGTGCACAGTTTATATGTATGCTGTTTACCGTTACAATATGTAGTGACTGTCGTGAGCTTTGGTAGGACCTGAAAAAGGATTTGTCAGAGTCCTGGATAAATGGCTTTATTTGGAGTTATAGCCTGTGAAGTCTATGCAGAACTGTTTATTTGAAGGCAGTATATACCCTCCGAATACCAGAGGAGGAGGAGCAGCAGCAGCAGCAACAACAACAACAACAACAACAACAACAACAGGGGATATCTGCTGCAAGATGCCTTGACCCTCTCAGAGGGTCTCAGTGTTTCCACAGTTGAAAGTAGAATGGTGGGTGAGTAGAAAGTAGGTGGAGATCTACTGGCACATTTCTGGGTGATGTCTAGTGAATTGGCCAGAGTTTCCGATTTCCAGATACTTGATAGGAATTACAAAATTAGGCTTCTGAAATGAAGAGAACTAACCCAGAGTGGTGTTTTTGTGTGTAAAAGGACTGCAAACTCTGTTCGGTGCTGGTACTGAAAACAAGTTCTTAGGTTTAGAACATGTTCTGAGGTATCCTGCTCTTTAACTCTAGCTGTATGTTGTTTGTATTTGACTCTGGCTGGCTGGTCTTGGGAATTTAGTAAAAAAACGAAGTTGACCCCAAAAGCCTGAAATCTGCCCATCATCGGCTTACATGATGCTTCAGGTCAATTCATGCTAGTTTGCCATTATACTTGCTATTTAGATTGCTTTCTTTCTAAGTCTTGCCACTGTCTGCTTTTTTTGCTGCCTCAGCACACTGATCTGACACTTTAAGTAAACAGGAAATTTAGAATCTATCAGCGTATAAGTGTAGCAAGATTGTTGGTCCCAATGTCCCTTAGGTACCCATTCCCATCTGTTGATTGTCTGGCTGTCTGATTCTCCCTTTGTACAGAATACAGAGGCATGAGCCATTAGTTCCTTGATTCATCTATCTTTTGGAACACCTCATACGCTAAGGGGGAGTGGGGGACGAGCAATGTCTGATCCAGACTCTTAAATATGCCTGTCTAGACATTTATGATATACTCATTATAATGTTATGAGAGCACCAGGTCACAGCAGGTCACGTCTTTCAAAAACAGCACTTCAGTAATGATATGAGAGGCAGTGTAACACAATGGATAAAGATTTGCAGTATTATTTTGTACTAAGGGGTAGTAGAGAGAAGTATGGGTGTGAGAGAAAAACAATGACAATAAACACTTAGATCTAACCATTCCTTGGATGCAAATCTCCATTTCCATGTACCTTCCTTCCCTTTGAGATATATAAGTGATAAATTCCATACTCAGTCCTAATGCACCTTATTTTATAGATCTGCTGCTGAAGCATTGTGCAAACATTTCCAATAAAAGATAAATGCACCAGTTCTATTAATATTTCAACTAGAAAACTAATTAATAGGGAGCAAAAATGGGTTTTGCATGTAAAAATTAGTATTCAGTGTGCTATATTTTGGGAACAAACATACTAAATGCAGCCTTTGTAGTCTGGCTGATTTTGATTTTCTGCTACATCAAAGGCT